AAAAATGTTTGACCAACATTTTGACCAAAAAGCGACAAATTAAGAGACATTGTCCGTCGCTTTCTTAAAATATTTGACTAGATATTTTGACCAAAAAGCGACAAATTAAGAGACATTGTCCGTCGCTTTCTTAAAATATTTGACTAGATATTTTAAGAAAGCGACGGACAATGTCTCTTAATTTGTCGCTTTTTGGTCAAAATATCTAGTCAAATATTTTAAGAAAGCGACGGACAATGTCTCTTAATTTGTCGCTTTTTGGTCAAAATATCTAGTCAAACATTTTTAAAAAGCGACGGACAACGTCTCTATGTCCGTCGCTTTTTAAAAATGTTTGACTAGATATTTTGACCAAGAAGCGACGGACATAAAGATGTTATCCGTCGCTAAATTTAAAAAATAATTAAACAATTAAAATTAATAAAAGCGACGGACGGCGTGTACTTTTTTTTAAATTAATAAATAATTATTTTTAATAAAAGCGACGGACGGCGTGTACTTTTTTTTAAATTAATAAATAATTATTTTTAATAAAAGCGACGGACGGCGTGTACTTTTTTTTAAATTAATAAATAATTATTTTTAATAAAAAGCGACGGACTGCGTCACTATCTATATAAAATAATTAATTAGACAAAAATACAACGAAAAAAGCGACGGACTAAGCGATGCCGTCCGTCGCTTTTTTTTAAAAAAAAATTAAAAAAGTTTTTAATTAAAAAGCGACAGACTAAGAGACCTGTCCGTCGCTTTTTAAAAATGTTTGACTAGATATTTTGACCAAAAAGCGACGGACTAAGAGATGCCGTCCGTCGCTTTTTTTAAAAACTAATTAATAAAATAAAATAAATTAAAACGACGGACAGCGTGGTTATTGTTTAATTTATAAATAATTATTTTTAATAAAAAGCGATGGACTAAGAGATGCAGTCCGTCGCTTTTTGTAAAATAATTTTAAATAATTATTTTAATTAAAAAGCGACGGACGTCATCTCTTAGTCCGTCGCTTTTTTGGAGCGACGCCGTCCGTCGCTTTTTCTTTCGTCGTTTTTTAGCAGTTTTTTAGTAGTGATATACACTTTCTCCTCAAGATCACCCTGCAAGAAGGCGTTATAAACATCCATATGATGTATGAACTATCCTTGTGCAGCAGCTATGGACAATACTGCTCTAACGGTGAGCATTTTTACAACAGAGGAGAAGGTTTCTTGGTAATCCAAGCCTTCCTTTTGATTGTATCCCTTGGCCACGAGTCTTGCCTTGAATCTTTCAATCTCACCTGTATCTTTGTATTTAATTTTGTAAACCCACTTACACCCTATCACCTTTTTTCCTTCTGGTAATGGAACAACCTTCCTTGTGTGATTGTCTTCCAAAGCTTCTATTTCAGCCTTCATGGCTTCCATCCACCTAGGGTCAGTTGCTGCCTTACTATAGCTAGTAGGTTCAATATCAACTGAGAACTTGTTAATGTATGATTTATATTTTCTAGTGAGGTGCTCATACCCCACTACTGTTGATATAGGATATAAACAAGAATTTGCCACCTTCCTCCCTTTTGAAGGCTGGACAAAATCTTTAAGCCAAATGGATGGTTTACTTGACCTGTTTGACCTTCGTGAGGGGATGCAGGAACAAATGGACAATCTTCAGCCATTCATCTCAACAGGAGCCATTACTTCCACAGTTTCCTCATGTAAAGTCCTAGATAAGTCCTCATCAGCATCAACTACAGACTTAATATTTATAGGCAAGGTGTTGGTTTCTCTATCAAGAGAATTGATGTCTTTTGCTTCATCCAAATTAAACTGCATATTAGGTAGTTGAAAGATATCTGGTAGTGTAGAAACAGGATGCACACCTGTTGGAGCCTGAAAAGAAAATATATCTTCATGGAAGATGACATCCCTGCTCACAAAAGTTCTCATTTGCACAAGGTCGTATAACTTGTATCATTTCTGCTTGACTGCATAGTGTGACGTCCCGCCACTTTGCCAATCAGATTTCGCATCCGGATAGGGACGGAAGATTCTAGAGTTAAGGAGAGGCTTGTGGAGAACTCTAGAATCCTTTAGAATTTTCAAGAAGGCAATGAAAGGTCCTAGATAATGTAGAATTCTCTAGATAGGGATCAATGGGTAAATATCTTAGGACTTGTAAAGTAATTTTAAATTACCCTTTAGCCCTTAGATGACAGTATAAATAGAGGTGTCATTTATTTGCAAGGCATCACTCAAGTTTAAAGCATTCTTCCAAGCTAATACAAAAGTCTTCTTCAAAAGCTCTCTTGTTCTTTCTAAGTTCTTCCTTTCATTCTCTTAGCGATCTTAGCATAAAGTGCTTCCTTGAGCTTACAAGATCTTGCAAGAGTAGTGAGTAAGTTGTCAAGCACCGCATGGAGCTTTAGCGAAAATTCTAAGTATGTGACAACGTGGTATCAAAGTGAGGTTTGCACTAAGGGAATGGCAACCGAAGGAGATGTAAACGCCGCTAGCACCACCAACGTCCATCTGAATAGTGGAAAGAAGAACCGCAAGGGAAAGAAGCACCAAAAGAGTAATGAGGAAATGTTGTTCGACCCCACACCTAGCGAGGCGCTAACATCTCATCCATCTTCGACCACCGAAGCTAGTGACAATGAACTTGGCGAGAAGGCCATTGACGTTACCGCTGGAGAGGAATGGGTCGCAAGGGTTGAAGTGGCGAGGCACGCCGTGGAGATATTAGGCTGGCACATCAATGAGGCCGACGGTAAGTTCAAAACTCTTGAAGACTTCACCCTTCAGGAGACCAAAAGCATCCGTAAAGAGTTGGAGGAACATCAGCGGGATGAGTTTGTGATGAATGAGGCCATCACTTCCTTGGAGTGCCGGCTCATGGAGGCGTTGAGCACAATTGAAACCATGAAGGCCGAGATAAAGGCACTTAAGGAAGGCGTGAAAGCTGGAGGATCGATGTCACCCGACCATGATAGGGAGGCCAGGGTCGAGGCTCTCAAGCCACCTATATTCAAAGGCGTTTGTGACGCTCAAGAGGTGGAGAACTTCTTGTGGTACTTGGAGAATTACTTCAGGTGTAATCGGGTGAAGAGCGATGAGAATAAGATCAACACTACCGTGTTGTATCTTTCAGAGATTACCATGCTATGGTGGAGGTGCAAGGAAGTCGAGATAGGGAAGGGGACGTACACCATCAACACGTGAGAGAAATTTCGCGAGGAGTTCAAGAAATCCTTCTTCCCTAACAACGTCATATATGAGGTTAAACACAAGTTTAGGGAACTGAAGCAAACGGGAAGCATTCGGGCGTACGTGAAGGAGTTCACAACTCTAACACTTCAGATTCCCAACCTCACAAACGAGGACATGTTGTTCCCTTCATGGACGGACTGCAAAAGTGGGCCAAGACGGAGTTGGAGCGGCGACAAGTCAAGACCATTGACGAGGCCATCACACAAGCCGAGTCTTTGACTGACTTTAAGCATGAATGGCATGACAAAACAAAGGGCAAGGATGCAAGGAGTAGTCATGCCAAAGGTGGGGGACATCGTCGTCGAGGCAAGGAGCAGTAGGCATACCCTAAACAGTACGACTACCACAAGCCAGACAGTAAGCGGTTTGTGCGCCAGAACTACACGGAGAAGAAGGTGCAGACCACCAAGGGAGATGGTTGCTACATATGTGGAGGACCGCACGGCTATGCCAGGTGCCCAGAGATGAAGAACCTTGGTGCCATCCTACGCGAGCGGAAGGAGAAGGAAGCACAAGAGCAAGGGCAGGACATGGGCACGACGCAGTTGGGAATGGTAGGACTATGCGGTGCTATTGTCAAGCAGACAGAGAAGCCATGAGACTTCAACACACAATATGTAGACATCTCCATTAATGGACGACTAGCTCGTGCCATGGTAGACTCCGAGGTCGAAGTAAATATCATGGCCAAGACGGTATCAGAGAGGTTAGGGCTAAACTATGTTCCAAGCAACACCTACCTCAAAATGGTTAATACCCCACCGACTCCCGTGTGTAGGGTCACCCAAGGAGTTAGCATCACGTTGGGAAAATGGCAAGGTAAGACAAACTTCACTGTCGCTCCCTTAGATATCTTTGATATTATCCTTGGGCAGGAGTTCTTCCAGCGCTGCCATACGATGATCGACCCCTATCTCCAACGACTCATGGTCATGGAGTAGGAAGGGTCATGCATGGTACCTCTAGTCAAGGGGTCGAAGAAGAAAGGACACGCTCACTTGTCGGCCATGTAGATCGTGAAGAGGTTGAAGAAGGGGGAGCCAACGTTTTTAGCCACCATTGCATGTCTGGAAGAAGACAATGGTGTTAAGGAACCCTTGCCACCGATCATAGAGAAGGTCCTCGAAGAAAACAAAGATGTGCTGCCAAATGAGCTACCGAAGACTCTACCTCCTAGGAGCGAGATAAATCACAAGATAGAGTTAGAGGTTGGAGATAAGCCACCCGCGCATGCACCTTACCGCATGGCTCTACCCGAATTAGAGGAGCTAAGGAAGCAGTTGAAGGAGCTCCTCGAGGCCGGTCACATCCGTCCATCCAAGGCACTTTATGGTGCGTCGGTACTATTCCTGAAGAAGAAAGATGGATCCTTACGCCTATGGATCGACTACCGAGCACTCAATAAGGTAACTATTAAGAACAAATATCATATCCCACTCATTGCAGATTTGTTTGATAGACTTGGGCAGGCCAAGTACTTCACTAAGGTGGACCTCCGAAAAGGCTACTACCAAGTGCGCATCGCAGAAGGGGATGAGCCGAAGACAGCGTGCGTGACAAGATATGGAGCTTACGAGTGGTTGGTGATGCCCTTTGGCTTAACCAACTCACCCGCTACCTTCTGCACACTAATGAACAAGATCTTCCATCCCTACTTGGATTAGTTCGTGGTGGTTTACTTGGATGATATAGTCATCTACATCAACACCTTGGAGGAGCACGTGGAGCATCTAATGAAAGTCTTCCAAGTCTTACGGGAGAACCAACTATACATCAAGCGAGAGAAGTACGAGTTTGCCTAATATGAGGTGCACTTCTTAGACCATGTCATCAGTCAGGGAAAACTACGGATGTACGAAACTAAGATTTGGGCGATAGAAGAATGGGAGGCGCCCACCAAAGTGACCGAGCTACGATCGTTCCTTGGACTTGTGAATTATTATCGCAGGTTCATAAGTGGCTACTCCGCGAAGGCCTCTCCACTGACCGAGTTGTTGAAGAAAAATAAGTTGTGGTTGGAGCGAGGAGTGCCAATAAGCATTCGAAGGTCTCAAGGTCGCGATAACAGAAGAACCTGTCTTGATGCTGCCCGACTTTTTAAAGACCTTCGAAGTGCATACGGATGCTTCGGACTTTGCCATTGGGGGAGTCCTAATGCATGATAGACACCCAATTGCATTTGAGAGCCACAAGTTGAACGAGACCGAACGGCGCTATACAGTGCAGGAGAAAGAAATGACGGCCATCGTACATTGCCTACGCACGTAGAGACACTACCTACTAGGCTCCAAGTTCGTGGTTAAGACAGACAATATGGCCACTAGCTACTTTCAGTCACAGAAGAAGATCACCCTAAAACAAGCTAGGTGGCAGGATTTTCTTGCTGAATTTGACTACGTCTTGGAGTACAAGCCAAGAAGAGGCAATGTCGTGGTCGATGCGCTAAGTAGGAAGGAAGAACTTGCTGCCATCATAACGGCACATTGTGATATTCAAGATGCAATCAAAAATGGCATGCAACATGATCCCGAGGCCAAGAAGCTGATGGAGTTAGCCACCCAAGGAAAGACAAAGAACTTTTGGATGGAAAATGGCTTTTTGCTCACATCCGATCGAAAGGTCTATGTGCCCAAGTTTGGGTCTATTAGGCGGCGAATTATTAAGGAAAGCCACGATACACCGTGGGCTGGGCATCCGGGGCAGTGACGAACAAGGGCACTGATCGAGGCCATCTATTTTTGGCCAGCATGCGGGACGATATCGAGTGCTATGTACAGACTTGTCTTTTTTGCCAACAAGACAAGGTGGAGCAAAGGCATCCGAAAGGACTACTAGAGCCACTACCTGTAGTGGAACGCCCATTGGAAAGCGTGACCATGGAATTTATTACTTCCTTACCTAAGTCTGATGGGTATAGAACCATCATGGTCATGACGAACAGATTCTCAAAGTATGCTACCTTCATACCCGTCACAGTCGGATGCACCGCAAAGGAGGCCGCTCAACTGTTCTTTAAGAACGTGGTGAAATATTGGGGGCTGCCAAGACATATCATTAGCGACCGAGACCCCTTCTTTACCGGGAACTTTTGGAAGGAGTTGTTCGAGATACTTGGCATCAAACTTCACTTCTCCACAAGTTTCCACCCACAGACCGACGGCCAGACCGAACGCGTCAAGTCCCTGTTGGAGTGCTACTTGAGGCACTATGTCAGTGCGCATCAAAAGGATTGGGCCAGACTTCTAGAGACGACGCAATTTTCATACAATTTGCAAAGGAGTAAGACCACCGGGCGCACACCGTTTGAATTGGCGACGGGCCAACAACCCCAAACTCTGCATTCTTTACCGGCTGCTTTCCAAGGGAAGAGTTTGGGAACCTACCATCTTGCCAAGGGATGGGAGGAATAACTTGACACTGCCAAGTCCTACTTGGACAAGGCAACAAAGAAGATGAAAAAGTTTGCCGACCGCAAGCGGCATCCCACGGACTACAAAGAAGGCGATAAGGTTTTGGTGAAATTCAATCCAAGACAATTCAAGGCACTAAGGGGTGTTCATCAAAACTTAGTGTGAAGATATGAAGGTCCGTTCAAGATCGTTGCCAAGGTGGGTAAGATCTCATACAAGGTAGAGTTGCCTCCACATTTCAAAATCCATGTGGTGTTCCATGCAAAC